GTAAAAAAAAAAAAAAAATAGTATTTTTTTTAATTTTTAAAAATTAAAAAATAAGACCAGAATATTTTTTTATTGATTTAACAGTAATTTTACATAAATGGGAACGAATATGAGCGTACAAGTGTTTATTATTAGTAATGATAAATAATAAAAAAAAATCGGGAGAAAGGCTGCCCATTTTCTCTTCGGGCAGCTGCATTGAAGCTCAGTCTTCGTCTCCGCCATCGCGATTCTCAGAAGCTTTTCTCTGTCTCTGGTGTTGTTGTGTGTGAAAGAGAGAGAGAGAGGTGAGAGGAGCTCAGTTTGATGAATCTAAGCTCTCCCAGAAACCCTAAATCTCCGCCATTTCATCTTCCTTCAGCCACAATTCCAGAGCCTCACCACCATTTTTCCCATTCTGGAACTCCCAGATTTTCATCCAGTTCTTCCCATTTTCCCGCCGCCTTCAGACTCGTAATTCCTCTCCCACTTCCCTCCATGTTCTCAACCCCATTCGTTCTCTCCTTCTCCCTCCTCCTTTCTCTCCCAATCCTCTTCCTTCTCGCCCCGAGATTCATCCCTTCAACCCCTCAATCAATCCCAATCGCCTCCCCTGACGAACACGACGATCTCTTCCTCTTCAATCGCGCCGCCGCCGGATCTAATCCCAACAACCCATCTGCCTTCTCGCGTCTCTCCTCCACTAACCCCAAATTGAAGATTGCGTTCCTCTTTCTCACTAATTCTGACCTCCATTTTGCTCCTCTTTGGATTCGATTCTTCCCCAATAACTCAGATCTCTACAATCTTTATGTTCATGCTGATCCCTCTGTTAACATTACTCGTCCTGTCGGCCCTTTTTTGGGTCGTTTTATTGTTTCCAAGCGGACTTATCGTGGGTCTCCCACGCTTATCTCTGCCACGCGCCGCCTCATTGCGACGGCCATTATTGATGATCCGGCCAATGCGTATTTCGCTCTCTTGTCTCAGTATTGTATCCCTCTTCATTCCTTTTCTTATGTTTATAACTCTCTGTTTTCTTCGACCACTTTTGATTCGACTTCCTCAAAATCCGAGCTGACCCATCTCGGTGTGAGAATTCGATTCAAGAGTTTTATTGAGATTGTGTCGAAAGAACGGCATCTTTGGCAGAGGTATAATGCGAGGGGTCGCCTCACCATGATGCCTGAGGTTCCCTTTGAGAAGTTTCGTGTTGGATCCCAGTTCTTCGTGTTGACTAGAAAGCACGCGTTGCTGGTTGTTAATGATCGGATGTTGTGGAGGAAATTTAAGATTCCTTGCAAAACTTCTGATGATTGTTATCCTGAAGAGCACTATTTTCCAACTCTTCTTTCCATGATGGATCTGAATGGCTGTACCCAATACACTCTTACTCGTGTTAATTGGACTGGGACTGCTAATGGCCATCCATATACTTATCGTAGTTCAGAGGTTTCTCCTAAGCTTATTCACCAGCTCCGGAAATCCAACTATTCCGATTCTTACTTGTTTGCCCGGAAATTTACTCCGGATTGCTTGAAACCGCTGATGGGTATTGCCAAATCTGTGATTTTCCGGGATTGAGACCTCTCTCTGGTAAGTTGGAGGCGCTAAGAAGTTGTCTGTTTACTTGTTTTGCCTTTTTTCCCTTTGATTTAAGAATTAGTTTTCATCTGTTCTTTGTCTATTTTACTGTTGTGGTTGTAAGATTAGAGAGACCCACATGAATCATTGGAAAATTTTGATGGTGTTTCTAAATTGACCGCCACTAAACTTGAAACAGACAACTTCTAGTCTAGTCTGAAACTTGAAGTTTTGAATGGACTTCATTTTTGTTACACATTGAGGCGTGAAGAACATGAACAATTTGTTCTTCGCAATCTTGATTCATGTAATTCAATTCAAAAACTTGCCTTCTTCTTAAGGAGAGGAAACATAGAAATAGGAACAATCCACAAGTCCAATTTACAGTAGATTTGTACTCTTTTGGCTAGCTAGTGAGCGCATCTGATGTCCTGGTGCCTGAATTATTACAGGTTAAAGACAAGAAAAAAGATGTCAGGCCAGTGCTGTAGCATTACTTCTTGGTAATGAAGAAGAAAAAGAAAAAGTTTTGTGTGGGAATATGGTAATGAAGAGGCGCCAAAGTGCCCACAGCCTGCGAGCCCACAATCATCCAGACTGCAGAAGAAGAGGCAGTCCAGACAAAGCAAACGACAAAACTTTTGCATTTTCAAGGGAAAAAGAATAGTTGGGAAAAGAAAGAGATACGAGTGAAGCAGAATGCAAGGTACACTTGTCCAAAGCTGTATTTTATTTTGAATTTCTTCCACTTTTTATTCCTTGCATTTTGATCTGCTGGAAGAACTGAAACAAATAGAATCCTTCTCCTGTCTTTTTATGGTTTCCTTTTTGTACATATGTAATATCATGTGAGGAAGTTCTAAGATATTGAAAAATGGGAAGGCTGTTCATGATTCTATGCTCTATGCTCTATGCTATATTCTCTTCATTTTCTGCCTCTTTTCTTGTCTGAATCCTGCGCTTAGTTCTCCATTATTCTTCTTAATCCTTGTGTTCCATAGACTTGAGTTCATATAACAATGATTTGTGTATAGTAAGCAGGATTAACAAGCTTGAAACTTGTAGTTTGAGACAAACAAACTACGTCTTGGATATAGGTTACGGCTCTTAATCTGAAACTATCCTCTGATAATATTGGGGCTAACGGGCGAAGACTATGGAGTGCCGCGTGTCCAAAATTTAGAAACCACGACTCTCGCTTTCCCTACCTCTTTTGCAACTTGGCTGCATTACCTACTTGTACAACTTGTAGAACATGAGGCGGCCATGGGCAGGGGATCCGAGGAATGCAAGAGTCATCCGGTGTTGGATTTAGAAATCTTGGACATGGAATGTTATCACTAGCTTGTGATGGTCTTGGGATAAATTTGCTGAGCTGATTTGCTTAGCTAATGCCTTTTTATCTTCTTCTTGTTGTGCTCAACTACATGTATTATCTTATGCCAATTCTAAGCTGAATCACCAAGTTGAATAGATGTTAAGGTCTATGGAGAATGAATGAGCCCAAACCTACCGCTAGCAGATATTGTCCTCTTTAGGCTTTCCTTTGAGGAGCATATGCTAGAGAGAGGTTTCCACACCTTTATAAATAATGCTTTGTTCCCATCTCCAATTGATGTGAGATCTCATAATCCACCCACCCCCTTTGGGGCCCAATGTCCTTGTTGGCACTCGCTCTCCTCTCCAATTGTGGGATCTCACAATCCACCCTTTTCGGGGCACAGCGTCCTCACTGAACTCGTTCCTCTCTCCAATTGATGTGGGATCTCATGTGATTACTGTCCTTAAGTTGGCATGAACGTTCCAAGTGGATGGATTAATAGCCGCGTGGATGGTTGTGGCAGCCACCATGGCTGTATACTCTTCTCCATTCATTTAATTTTATCCTTTTGAATCTTCATGATCTGTCTGACATGGGAATTATTGGCAGATTGAGTTCTTAACAGGAGTATTAGTCTAAAGAAATATAGAAATTCTATGAAAATTTTGCAATCTTGAATGATGTTCTTTCAGAACCCTTTTCTTTGCTGTTTAGTAAGATAGTAAGCTTGATGGATGGTTTCAACTGATATGCTGCCTTTGTTCCAAAATTATCTACAAATTCAGAGCTATTCTCTCCTTTCGGGTTAATCATATCTTTTCTATTATAATACTTGTTGAGTACTCTCCCTCGTCACGTTCAGCTCATGGACTTGTTCTTGTTCTTGTTTCTGTTGTTGTTGTTCTTCAATCTCGATATCGACACATTCATTGTCGAATTCTTGTATTTACATTCAACACATTTAGTAGTGTCCTCTACGAACAAGTATGAAACGCCCACATGATTGCATTTGTGAATTGTTTGAATCATTGTTCTCTTCTATCTTTGAAGGTTTAACAGTTGATGTGTTAACCTTAAAACTTGTTCCCATTTCATTACTAGTCTTTCTGATTGTTAGCAAAGTCCTTAATTTTGGGGCTACTTTTGTGATAGACCTAATCTATTGCTGGGTTATTCTTGAGGTCGTGGATGCGTTGAGAGCACGACCGAACGATAATTTAGGCCAAGGAATCTCGTGTAAACAATGAAAAGGGTTTCGAGGCAAGGAGCTCAAGTCATGGTGGCCACCTACCTTATTGTCTTACTAGTTAGCTCAAAAATCAACTGTTGTAAGCTTACGACATCGTCCCACTAGACTGGAAGTATGCTCGAGCGGGACCTGACACTCACAAATATTTTCTAAAAGATGACAGAGACATAGTATTCTAAAAAAGATATAATACGAACGAAAATAACTTTTAGAAAGACTATAATATTAATATAGAGGAAAGTTCGAGACAATTACAAGTAGACTAAATTATTATGAGAAATTGAGCCAACTAATTGATTGATTGATTGAACGTAAAAGAAAGTTGATAAATTACCTTTTTGGTCGGTTTTTAAAAAACGTGTATATTGAGTTCTTATATGTTAAAATTGAACAATTAAGCCTCCAAATTTTATAACATGTTTATCGAGTCCCGATTTTTCTAATTCAAATAACAACAATAAAAAATACACCCATTAATTTGGATTAATATACAAACCAACTATATATTATATTTGATATTTTATTACAAGATAAATATAAATAGAAAACTTTTACGTACCATTTATGTGTACTATTTATGCATGGTGGATTAAGTAAACATTCTCAATAACTCTCAAAATTCACGAATTTTAACCAAAAAAAAGTTCTAACCTAATTAAAAATTAACTCGAGCGGAACATTATATTATGTTATATTATTTTATTTTTAATATATAGTATAGATAAGGATTTTTTTTTTTCAAAATATAATATTATGTTATATTATTTTTTTTATAAAAAAAAAATTAATCACAAAAATTTGTGATATATATATATAATATTTATTTTTTCAAAAAATTTTATAAACTTTACCGATAATAATTTTATTATACCTAATCATACATATTCAAAGCCGCCGCAGCTTGAATTTTCAGCCTCCGTTCCTCTGAAGTTGGTGAGTCCTCTTTTAAGTTCCGGCAATTCTAGGGCATCTGATCGGTACCGGAGAGTGGTATTAGGCTGTGCGTTGAGATTCGGCGATGGGGAAGAACGATAAGACGGGGCTGGGACGGGCTCTGGTGAAGCAACACAACCAGATGATCCAGCAGTCTAAGGAGAAAGGCCGAACCTACAGATCCCAGCATAAAAAGGTTTTGGAGTCCGTCACGGAGGTTAGCGATATCGAAGCCGTTATCCAACAAGCCGACGAGGCCGAGCGCCTCTTCTCCGCTGATCACCCTGTTCCGAACGTTCTCATTAAGATGTATGTTATCTACTTTCTAGGTTATGGATTTTCTTGTTTCTCACAGTATTTGCTCGAAAACTGTGGATTCACGAGCTGTTGAGATAAATTGTGTTTTAAGCATAGAAAGTGGAAGTAGTTTGTTTGTGTTGGACGGAGGTCATGGATGGATGGATTGGAAGGTGTTGATTATGCATGAAGTTCTACTAATGGATTTTCTTATTGGCTTCTGTTTTGGCCGTGATTAGGGATGGAAGTTCGAGCACGACTGGAGTTACGCCCGAGGAAAGGAGAGAGCAGCAGAAGATGGAGGAGGCTTTGCACGCTAGCAGTCTACGAGTTCCACGTAGGTTTGTCTTCTTTTCCTTACCATGTTTATGCAAGTTTTGCTTGGGAAATTTTGTTGCACAACACGTAAATCTCTTTCTTGTTGTAGGCCCCCATGGAATGCTAGGATGTCTGCAGAGGAGCTTGACGATAATGAACGACAGTCTTTCTTAATATGGCGTCGGAGCCTTGCAAGGTTAGCTCCAATTTAATCTCCCAGTTTTTGTTTGATTTGTACAATCTTGGCTCATTGAACTCGTATATGTAAATCATTCCCAAGTATGCTTATTTATAGTTAACGTTCATTTGTGATTATGTTTATTTTAGGCTCGAGGAGAATGAGAATCTTGTTCTTACACCATTTGAGAAGAACCTAGATATTTGGAGACAGCTTTGGCGGGTTGTTGAACGATGTGATTTGGTAAGGTCAAGTTCATCTTTTTGATGATGACTGTGATATAATTGTCATCCCAACACTCAGCATGGTTCTTCAATATAATTTTCTGTTAACATTATTGTTCCCTCACGCAAAATAAAGGCATATCATATGTTTAGCAATAATAAATCGTACAGTGGGTTAGATTGATTTAAATTTTATCATTTGGGTGTCTGCAAGAATTTTGGGGGAGGCCTTTGGTGCTTAGGCTCTCTAAAGGAGTGTTTTTTTCGGCTTAAATCTTCAACTGTGCCATGTATTTTCTTTCTATCATTTGAGTCAAGTAATTTTCTCATTTCTGGTGTAGATATGTTAAATCTATAGATTTTATTTCTTCTTTATCTATTATGATTTTTTTTTGATAATTTTGTGTTTTCTTTTTCCTTTTGAGGATGGCTCATCCTTTTCCCTGCCTAGAGTATCATGTGCTGTGTAAGATTAGAGTAACAATTCAATATTCAAGTGTAAAGTTTATCATCTGAAAGTTTCTTAGTTTGAGCTTGCAATACTACCTTGAGTTCCACTGCCAGGACATAAATCTTCTTTCTAAATTATTATCACACAAGTATGCTTATTGATAACTGTGCTTGAAATTTTAGTATTACATTATCATATGGATAAGAAGCAATAGTATTACATTATTTTATAAACGTTGGAATGTGTTTACTTATTTTATCCGTAATACTATGAAACTTATTAATTGCTATTGTTGTTACCTGTTTTATTAAGTGCACTTTTATTTCCCATGTTTTATAGTGTGGAAACTAGGAAGTGAATAAAAGTTAGCTATTATATGTATAACCAGCCAGTTCTCAAATCTCCCGGTTTAGTAATTGTCTTATTACTCCCTCTGTTGATTTGTATTTACAATCATGTTAAGTTCATCCTCCATCATAATGTTTTTTCATTTCTTGTTCCTTCTCAGCTTGTGATGGTTGTTGATGCTCGCGACCCTTTATTCTACCGTTGCCCTGACCTTGAGGTGAATTATTTTCTTTATTGTCTTTCTACCATAATTTTTCTGTTTTTCTGTTCTGATTGAGTTTGATGCCTGAGAATGTTCTATCTCATTTATGTGGACTTGGGTTTATACTAGAAAAGGAATAAAGAATGAGTTGCCATCTAGCTAATACATTTTTTTTGCTGAACTTTTTTATTTTATTTTATTTTTATTATATAACTTTGTGATGATAATTTAGTTATCTTGCACGCACTACTCTTGTTCCTTTTCCTGTTCTTTTCTCTGACTAAATTTGAATGTCTGAAATATGTGTCCCATTTGATATGTTAACCCTGTGTTACTTGTGCCGTGCATTTAATTACTCCAAAACAAGTTATACATTTGGTGTTATGATCATATGTAATTTTTTTTTTGATATGTTAACCCTGTGTTACTCGTGCAGTACATTTAAATACTCCAAAACAAGTTCTACACTTGGTGTTATGATCATATGTAATTTTTTTGAAGTTCTGAAAAAGCAATGAAATAAAAAGATATTCAATACTTTGTACTTTTTTTTTTCCAGTGATATGATACTAATGACCATTTTTTGTTTTCCATTGGTATATTTGAGCTTAAATGTCCTGTCTTTATTAGACAATCGAATCATTTACTTGGTTTAGAATTTACTTAACATTTTGTATTGCTTTACTTACCATCATTTGTTTGGCATGTTATGTTAAAAAATTCTGTTTTTTTTTACTGAACTCTGCAACTATTGAATATTTGCATGAAAATTGCAACTGGTATGTCTTAATGCTGACATAAAAATTGTTGTCTTTGTGATTCTAAAACCTGTCGCAGTTTGCAACATTCTCCTTTGTGTCTTCATGTCCACTCTTCTTAGTTTTTCCTTTTGGCCTAATTTTGTTGTTTGTGCAGGCATACGCAAAAGAGGTTGATGAGCACAAGAGGACCATGCTTCTTGTGAACAAGGCAGATCTGCTACCTTACTCTCTCAGGTTAATGATTGTTATTTATTATTTAAATGTTAGTCTATGTTTATGTGCTGTCTTTTAATCAACAAAAATTCCATGTCGATACTTATGAACAGGAAGAAATGGTCTGAATTTTTCAGTCAGAATGAGATATTATATTTGTTTTGGTCTGCTAAAGCTGCCTCTGCTACTCTAGAAGGGAAGAAACTTAGCAGCCGGTGGAACACAGATGAACCTCAGGACGGTTTGGATGATCATGATACAAAAATATATGGTCGGGACGAGCTTCTGGCTCGTTTACAGTACGAGGCAGAACAGATTGCCGAGAAGAGGACAACATCAAGCACTAGTTCTACAAGCCAGTCGGACAATCATTCTTCCGGTGGAAATACAAACCAAAGATCATCGAGTAGCGTCATGGTGGGATTTGTTGGGTATCCAAATGTGGGAAAGAGCTCAACAATTAATGCCCTAGTAGGCCAAAAGCGAGCTGGAGTCACCTCTACTCCCGGGAAAACAAAGCACTTCCAAACATTGATTATTTCTGAGAAGCTTACACTATGTGACTGCCCTGGTTTAGTTTTTCCTTCATTTTCAAGCTCAAGATACGAGATGATTGCGTACGGAGTATTGCCTATTGATCGAATGACAGAGCATAGAGAGGCCATCCAGGTTGTCGCCAATCGAGTCCCAAGGCATGTGATTGAGGGTGTGTACAAAATTAATCTGCCAAAACCGAAGCCGTATGAGCCACAGTCTCGGGCACCACTAGCATCAGAACTTCTGAAAGCTTATTGTTTCTCCCGTGGTTATGTTGCCTCTAGTGGACTGCCTGACGAAACCAGAGCTTCCCGCCAAATTTTGAAGGATTACGTTGATGGGAAGATTCCTCACTATGAATACCCCCCAGGAATGTCAAGCGAGGATGATATTCAAGATGAAGATGCTGCAACTACCAGGCTTTCCGACGCACACGATTCAGACTCGGATGATATTGAGGACTCCTCAGATGTGGATAATGAAAATGCCTCTGGTCTTGAACATGTGACTGAGTATCTCGATTCATTTGACATAGCAAATGGACTTGCGAAGCCGAGCGTCACCGAAAGGAAGCCCAAGGAATCTCATAAACACCACAAGAAGCCGCAAAGAAAGAAGGATCGGTCATGGCGGGTGGCAAATCATGATGGCGATGGTATGCCTGCAATGAGAGTGTTTCAGAAGCCAATAAACTCAGCCTCCCTGAAAGTGTTACCATGAGGTTAGTTGATGCATCTCTATTAACTTTCAAGGCTGAGGGAGAGACCAAATTAACGAAAATGGAAATGGTAGAATTAAGAGCAGCAACAATATATATTATTATTGTTCTTTAATGGGGTGTGAAATTTATGAAATGGTTATAGTTCCTTGTTTTTCCATGAATTTTACTCGCGTTTTGAAGGTTTTTTGTGATACCTAAGCAGCTTCTCTCTCTCTCTTTCTCTTCCTGCGAGGGATGAAAGAGAGTACACCTCTTCGCCTTTAATGCCAGTTTCAAGCTTCATCTCTCTTTAGAAATAAGATATTTCTACATTTGAGTATTAAAATGGAATCTTTAGAAAGTGAGGATAATGCAAAGTAGAATAAATATGAATTGTTAGTTTACAAAAAACTAGAAAAAGTATAAATATATACAATAACATAACGAAAAATACCATAAAAGAGAGTTTGTATTTCTTTTCCCAAAAAGAAGAAATATACTCAGACATACAATTCTTTAAAGATAACTTATAGGCTTAACTAGGGTCAAGCAACGTAGGCTCAAGTCTCTATTGAAATTGGTATTATATGGGAATATAAGTAAAAAATCAACAACGAAGATGTGAACCAATTTGGATTGAAAGGAGACGGTCTAAAGACATGTGTGGTGTCATAATCATACTGCATATAAATAAGAAGGCAATCCATTCAACCACATAGAAATAGACAAGTGTCACGATGAGATCGAGGTGAATGGTACATCATCCAACACAGAGTGTTATAGACAAAAGGGTTCCACCATTAAACTTCAAAAGGTCAAAGTTTCAACCTGAGTTTTAACATGCATCTCTAAAGTTCTTTAACCAGCCACGCTTAATAACTACATAATTCACTTCTGACCTGGCAATTTTTCAATATATGTATGAACCCCATTTTAGAATTTGGTTGGGTTTTGAAAACACTGGAAAAGGTAATTCAATAATACAAATATAATTTTTCTTTTCACAAAATATTTAAAAAAAAAGCACTTTTACAAAGTACAATATAACAAAATTAAGAAACTATTAACCAACAAGCTTCTTATTTTGAAAAGAAAACCCAGCGAACTTCTCAACTCATCTGCCATTAGCTGTTAACACACACAGCCCAGCATCGTTAGAGTTCCAAGCAACAAGGCCAACTTCGTAGTAACCCTGAATCACAAATTTAAAACAAGAATTCAAGTGATACAACAAAGACTCATCCCAGACTTGTTTGTTGAATGGGAAACAAAGAAACTCCATGAACAATCGATTTAGAACGAGGGAAAGGACGTAATTTTTTTTTTTTTTTTTGATCTTTACACGAATTATAATGTACAAAGCAGACAAACAAAAATTACAGAAAGCAATCAACTTCTATATGATACACAACAGAACATCCACAGAGCTAAGAAATTACATCTCACTGCCAAGGAAAGTTTCACTTTAAAGGAAAAAAAAATAATAATAATGAGACCATAACAAGGATTCTAAAGAATATATAGAGAAATGAAAAAGAACAGCGCGGGACGGGATACCGCTGACTTCCACCTGCCTTTACCTTAATATACAAGGGACGGTCAAAACTCACCATCAACTTGCAGCTCAAGAGAAGAGGAGCTGAATCTAACTCATCGCTAGCAACTTGGTTCTTGAGAACACCTTGTAAGGCCCCTATCATTTGTGTTGAAAAATCAGAATTTCATCCGCTGTTTTGTGTTGAAGATCCAATTGGATATTTCTGTATGAGGCATAGTGCTATATACAGAGAGCATCAGAAGGACCATGCTGCAGACGACTCGTAATTCAACAGAAAGAAATCATGAACTACATCCAAGCAAGAGAACCACGATCATTGGAAACTTGTGGGCGACCTCTTGTGGGAGTTGGTGGCCGATTAGCATTCAGCTCCTGTTCTCAAGAAAACAAATAGGATTGATACCAGACACAACGAGTGACATTAGAGTACGAGCCAATATAAAAGTAAAGTTACCTGCATCCACGTATCCTCCATGTGGCGTTCTGGAGACGTCTCTGGTGATGAAATTGCTGGAGGTATGGGATGAATGAGTTTAGGAACAACCACAAGATCTCTACCCAAAACTAAGATTGCTCCGGCATTATTTGCAGTTCCTGTACAGAAGTGCGTGACTTGAGGATATAATATGTAGGACGTGAAAGCAACATAATTAGGCACACATACCACAGTAATTGGTAGCTGAGAAAAGTGTAATTAGATGTCCTTGCGCAAAACGTTCAAACCCATCCATTACACATTCATGAGCACGTACTATCAACTGAAGATCGTTATTGTTGCAGAATTCCATGACACGATCAGGCTGCAGCCAAACAAGACCCCCAAAAAATAATTCAAACTTCATAAATCGAACCTCAATAAAATGGATGCATAAATATCAAGCCTTTGCATAGTATATAAGGAAAAGAATTAAGATAATCCATAAGTATAATATCCTTGCTATCCGGTGATGATAGTAAAACCAAATCAATTGATAGACGTTCCATTACTAGATAAACGTACCAAGGAATAACTGATAGTCATTTTTCCTAACTTAACCAATCATTAATTAATGTACTCTAGTACCCAAGAAGACACCCTACACTAACCAGTGAACAAGTTCCATGCCTTACTCCTAACTTAGCCAACCTCTAATCTTTTATATATATTACCAAGATATCCTCAACCCACCATCCAAAAAACTTGCTAGCTCGCTGTAACTAAATATTTAATCTCACAAGGACAAATTTAATTTCCCATCTAATTAGTTACAAAACTGTGCATCCTTCCCCCCTATGTGAAGAATGATGACGAGATAAATTGGACAGTTATTGTCATCCCATTATCCAAAAATTGCTTGGGCATTCGAATAGTCATATGAGAATGTTCCAATTTCCAATAAAGTTTCCCTAACATTCCCAAGACTACTAATCCGCTTTTTTTTTTTTCTTTTTTTTTTTTGAAACTAAGTGCAAACATCACCCAACGTTCCTCCCAGACCTAACAACAAAACAGAACCACTCAGAACTCCCTTTGTTCAAATCTTGAGAACTAAGAGCATGGGAATCGAAAGTTGTTAAGGGGCGATTGGCTTTTCTTTTAGGATTTGTGTAGAACTATGCTGATGACTCAAAAACTATATAGTCCTTGTTGCTCCATAATTCATTGGGACAAGGCACTAAAGTTGGGAACTTTGGATTAAGTCAACGTCCTTTTTCTCCAATATCTAAAAAATTGCAGTTGGAGATATAGTAGAGTAGAAGCGCTTCCATAATACAGAGGATGAAACGAAACCAAATTGACACAGGGACAAGTTGTTGCCTATGTTTTTTATCAATTCAACCTAAAACACAGTCAAGTTGACACAAGTCAAACCAATGTTTTCTAGAAAAAAAACGTAAAACAAACGTCTCTTTGCAGGACGAAATGGAGAACATGAAGATAACACTCAGAGGAAGTGAGTTATAACTCAAAACCTCTATATGAGACACGTTTATACCTTAGACTAGAGATAAAACAGTTACAATTTGTAAGCCAGTCTTAACTATATGTAATTTCTTTTTCTATAAAACCCAATTTGCAGTGGTGCAGCCCTCAGTACAAGGACAACACAAATTGAGAAATGCTCCAAACTTCAAAAATGAAAAGAATTATTGCCCTTGCCTCTACATGAACTACTTTCCAGTGTTTGAGACCTAACATGCAAAAAGTATTCAAGTTTGGCTTTATTATGGACTTTACGAACAATAGAGTTTTCAAATAGAGAGCATTTTAGATAGAGTCCCTATCCTATATGCGCAAAAAATTAAAAGAAAAATAAATAGGAAAAAATGAGAGGAAATATACACTACTCACCCCAAAAGTAACTAATCCAGGACCTCTAGCATTCGGTCGTAATCCTTCAACACTGTCGTTTTCTGTGGGGTCAGACCTAAGGAAAATAATAAAATACATACAAAAATACACGTTATATGCATGGCCACCATGAAAAAATAAAAGGAGACTATCAAGGATGTGCACTGACCACAACAAATCCATTAGCACAATAGAGCCTGCTTCCATAGTTATAGGGCGCTGAAGACTCTCAATCTGTTCCAGATGGTTAATCGAACGACCAATACCACCATGCATGCAAATAATTTTTTTTTCGATCAAGGCTGCCAAAGGGAGCCAGTTAAACAAACGATTTATCCGATGCCATGTCCAAATTCCATCTCTTTCACCCTGGTCATTGAGTTGTAAAGTTAGGTTGTAATGAACCAACACAAAATACAGCCATGAGATACAACTATGTTATACCATTCGTTCAATGCACTCAATCCGAAAGCCAAAAAGGGCATTAATATCAGCTGCTTCATGATTCCCACGAATCAAATGTACATTATTTGGATACTCAACCTGCCATATTTATGAGAAAAGTACATTGTCCCATAAAAATCTTGAATTAACGTGCAAGTGAAAGTTAAATTATGACACACAAATGTACTATGCGCAAAAGCACCTTTAAAGCTAGCAGAAGAGTAATGGTTTCAAGGCTGTGTTGCCCTCGATCAACATAGTCTCCCAGGAATAGATAATCAATGTACCTAATCAAAAGTGATGCAAGATTGCCATGTATGATAAGTCACAAGCAAAAAAAAATAAATAAATAACAAAAAGATTAATGCAAACTCCAGATGGGAATAAACAGCACAAAGCATAAAAGAAAACAATAAGAACGGAAAAAGGAAAACTTAAAGACGAAAGATCAAAGCATTCCAATTCAGACATAAGTCTTGGATAGAGTGATTCGCAGAAGATTTGGCAAGAGAGCACCAAAATGTAGCCTTAAGCTTAGCCAACTCAAACCGATCAAAAGAAGAGAGTGACTTGTTTAGAAAGATTCATTGATTTCTTTCAAACCAAAGCTTTGTAAGGATGGCTTTTCACAACATTAAACCATAAAATCTTGGATTTATGCACCAAAGAAGGGCCCAGAAGTAGCTGAAACACACTTTCCTAGAAAGAGCTATAAAACACCCCATGTAAATGAAAACCGCTATTAACTCAGCCCAAAAATGCTGACAGTATAGGCAATCAAAGAAATGTGTTGAAGAGAATATATGCTAATTAAAAGAACAAGCAAGCCAATGATGAAAGCGAAGGGAGGTTCCTTTGAAGAACCTCATAACAGTTTAAA